CCACACACCCAATCAGTGATATAGACTTGTTGTGTGGCATGTGCTTTTTTTTTTTGGTAAATGAATAATATTAGGTTTTCCTCAGCGATGTTGTTTGTTAGGTCATTTTCATTGACTGAGTGTGAAAAAATGTGTTTTATTTTTCCTCCCATGTTAAAAGTGATCGTAATATTATTATGGTGCGTTTGTTAGGTTTTGTATGTATTTGGAGGATGTGCTCTCTTTGAAATAAAATTATGGTTCACCTAGCAGGTCTTTGATTATTGTCAAAACTGCAGAATGCATGCTGAAATATGAACTAATATAATAATAATATATAGACAGACACACGGACTGGCAGAAGATAGATAGATATGTAGATATACAGTTGAACATGTTCAAGATGGCCGACCATGTTGAGGAGAAAAAGGGTTGTCTTAGACAAGCAGAGTTCTTTGACAGTGTCTTAATAATATAGAAAAAACCACAAGGACATGGTCATTTGTACAGAAGATTATCTTGTACAAGTGATTGTTTTGAATAGGTAGCTTTTTAGAAAAGATTGAACTGTATATATATACATATAATATATGTATTTGTATAGTATATTCCTTGAATTCTGATCCGACAAAGGTCAATGACCCCCCAGGGTCATCCTGATCTTTCAGTACTGGCCAGTGCCCAGTGCTGTTGTGAGGAACATTATCAGCATAAGGACCCTGTATAAACTTTGTACAAACATTTTTTGTAGAATATTTTGTTACTCACCTCCACCCCCTCCCCCCCATTCTTCCAGCCATTATCTGCTGAGCTCGTTCTAAGATGGAGAATTCTGTGGTGTCACCTGCCCGAAGCAATACTGCTACACCAGGGGTATCAGACTCAAAGTTTGCTTTTGATTGGGGGCCAAATTGGATAAGTGGCCATTGAGCAATGGAAGACTAAATCTTTACTAAACCATAACATAGACTACCTAGTATAAGACCCTACCATACGCCATTTTGAAAAGGGATGTTTGACAGAGTCTTACACCTGCTTCATGACCCAATAGTGTTGATATTTCACACTCTCCGAGTCTTACTTTGAGCAGTCGCTGCTTCATGACCCTACCGTGTTGATATTTCACACGTTCCGAGTCTTACATTGAGCAGTCGCTGCTTCATGACCCTACCGTGTTGATATTTCACACGTTCCGAGTCTTACATTGAGCAGTCGATAGGAAGTTAAACAGACAAATGGCTACCTTAGAAGTACAAATTTCTATCTGCTCATATCTATTTTTGAGATATTTGACGCTAAGAATGTTTCACAATATGCTACAAGCTTTGTGGAATACAGTTCTTTGAATATCTTGATAATGACTCTGAATAATCAATAGCAAATCAAAGCCAATTTTCCAGAGCTGGAGATTTGGAATCTTTTCTTGGCTACTGATTAGGTCATGTTAGGGGTAAAGTTTTGTGTTCTGGAGGTTCTTTAGTGGGCCAGATACAATTGTTTGCCGGGCCAGATGCAGTGCAGCCCGCAAGCCTTGAGTTTGATGACACCTGAGTTGTACTCACTGTTTTCTTTCCTTTAATTCTGACATTGTTACCTGTGAGTTTCTATGTATCTGTTGGACAGCTGATTTCTCACCCATGTACCTTGTATGAACAGTACTTAAAAAACTCTGCTTTATTTACAACTGTACTAATTGCGTTTGTGTGAAATGTGAGTGTGTGTGGTTTTAGAGCAACAAATGATTAACTCCGAAGCTCCATTACTGGAGATAACTTCTTTGTGCACTGAACTGAATGGACAATGTATGTGAACTTGTTAAGTGATATGGTTACATTCTGGTGATTTCAAATTTCCGTATTGTGATCTTGTGGTGATAATGTAGAATCTGTGGCTGAATGGGAACATCTTGTTGTTTTTGTTTGTTTGTTTTGAAGTATTGAGCATTGATCAAAATTTAATCCATCAGAGTGGTCGGACTAGCTTAAACGCTTTTCCCAGTGGCTTGTCACTCTCATGGCTTTGTTGAAAGTTCTCGGGTTTGATTCTTCTACCTATGCACTTACTGACTGAAGCCACTCATCTTTCATAAATCCACGGCTAATGAGGGGCTGGGTATTGGGTTATGCAAATGAGACGAAAGAAAGACCGTGAATATTTTGGAATGCTCAGATGTCAATGCTAATTACCAGAAACAAATGCTCTCCATTTTCTTTTTTGCAGAATGTTCTCATTTTTCACCACTTTTGTGACAAGGTCCTTACTGAGTTATTGTCTGTAGATTGAAGGTAATGTTTACCTGTATTGTTTATTTTGTTTAATTTGACTTTTGATGGAAATATCTGGGAAATATATATATTACAGTAATCTCTGTTTGGCTCTGTTTCTCTAGGGGGAAGTTTACAACCAAAAATTGGTTTTGTCCTTTTTCTTACAACTTCAATGATATACAGTAAAACCGTGATAACATTACAACATCAATGATATACAGTAAAACCGTGATAACATTACAACATCAATGATATACAGTAAAACCGTGATGACTCGAAGTTTACTAAAACAATTTTTTTGTGTCGAGCTAATTCTGTGTGAAGGGAATTTGCAATGCATAGAAACAAAATAGGAGGTAGTTTCGGGGGAGGGGGAATACCTGGAGATTTGAAATCTTGACATGGTAACAGGATTCAGGATAGTGTGTTAAACGAAATCTGGTGTAATGATTTTGTGGGTGTGTGCAAGATGCATTATGGGAATGAATGAGCCGAGCGTGTCTAGTAAGTTGACCCAGTTGCTGGATTGATAACAACAACAACAACAGTTACTTTGACACCCTCAGGTCTGGGCTGTGTTTGATGTGATCTTGTGACTAGAGGGACCGGAGGACTAACCTTAAGGCTGTTTTGTTAGCTCAGTTGGTATCACGCTGAACTGCGGAGTAGATGGGCCTGGTTCAAGTTCCCAACTGGGCGTTCTTGAACTCACGTCATTTTGCAAGAGTTTACAAGGCTCTATACACTTGTGTCTGAGTCTATCCGGAGACAGATGTTGAATTCAGAGGTCCCAACTCTTCAATAACTCGGGCCTAATAGTGTTGACAGCTCGTTTAACGGATACACTTACTTTTACTGTTGTACTTTTTTGACTAATCGAAAGTGTTAGGCGTTACTGTTTGTTGGTGGCATCTACTGTGTGTATATTGTGTGAGATATTTATTGACCTCTCAGTCACGTAGCAGTGACTAGACAAGACAAGAGCCGCTGGGAAGCAGAGAATGTTTCTGAGTGTTGTAGGTTCTGCAGGGGGGATAGTAGTTGAAAGCGCATAGAGTTTGTTAGATATATGCGTTACATAAATGCAAGTGTTATAATTATTATTATTATTATTATTATTATAATTATGACCAGGAGGGATAACCTCTTATTCCTTTTTGATATGCAAGTCTTTGGTTTTTAAAATTTTTGTACAGCATTTTTTTAATCTTCTCACTTTTGCATGATCAAAATTTCTGACTCAGTGGGATGGATTCTAAATATTTTAATATTGATCTTACAGTGTCTGCAGAAAACCATGTATAGCATAAAATCTGCGAAGGACTCGAACCATAGACTAACAGTAACAGTTTGTGACTGGCATTAGGAGACCAGAGACCTGGTGTGTGCCTACTCTCTGTACTTGTCTGCTTGTCTGTCTCACCAGACTCTGTAGTTGAACAGTAAAAATGAAAATCTCAGCTGCCATGATCAAACTACTTGTTGTCAGTTGGTTGCCGTTGACAACATTTACAGGTGATTGTCATTTACGTTGACAACATTTACAGGTGATTGTCATTTACGTTAACAACATTTACAGGTGATTGTCATTTACGTTGACAACATTTACAGGTGATTGTCATTTACGTTTTCAGTTGGTTGCTATTGACAATGTCATGAGTTGGTTGCTATTGACAATGTCATGAGTTGGTTGCTATTGACAATTGTTTCTAGTGATTATCATAAATGATACTTTGACTTGATTGCCATC